TGGCCTCATCCCAAAACTCATCCTAAATTTCATTCACTCTTTCCTTAATAACAGACAAATAACAGTCAAATCTCACAACACTATTTCGGACCCATATCCACGAGAAAATGGAACACCCCAGGGGAGCATACTCTCCCCAACTTTATTCAACTTCATGATAAACGACATCTTTCCGGACAAATGGCCAGAAATGTCAAAAGCAAAGTTTGCAGATGACATTTCCTTCTGGACCTCTTCTACATCTGTCAAACAAGTAACTATCAAAACACAAAGAATGCTAAATCATATAAAAAACTGGGCCCAAAAATGGTGGTTCCATATTAATGTAAAAAAAACCCGTGGGCATATTATTCAAAGCTCCAAGAATGCGAAATTATACATCCAAACTTCACCTAAACAACCAAGAAAGACAACAAGCATTGTCACTAAGGTGACATAATCCCCCACCTCAAATGATCAAATCAAACTTATAAAGTAATGAAAGTTTAAGTTAAATGTCAACAAAAACATGACCAGTCAACCTCTCTTGATGTCTTGCTCTTTAGGTGTTCAAACACACACATATTTTCAAGACTGACTTTGACATGAATGCAAAAATAGTACTAAAGAAATTGCTTTTTGAAAAACATGTAAGGGAAGTCTTGAAAGTCTTTGAAGAAGATCCAGTGAACTGTTTTTGAAATATCTTGCTGACAATTCAGGTTAACATGCTCAAATCTTCAAAGTGTCTCTGTGACCTTGAAAATTAAGTGAAGGTCACCAAAATCGACTGCGCCCTGCGCCTTCCCTAGATAAAGCTTTGTATTGAATATGAAGAAAATCCAGAGAACGGTTCTTGAGATAGCTTAACATTAAGGTCAAGGTCACCAAACCTGACTTGGACCTTTCTTATACTGTGATGAACCTAGGTACCAATTATGAAAAGAATCTAGTGAACGGTTCTTAAGATATTCCAATTCGTACGTACGAAATTGGACTACACTGATCCAGTCCTTCACAACCTTTCCCCTTTAAATCTCCAGAAATTAACATCTATCCAGTATAAAGCCCTTAAACTCGCCCTAGGCACCATGAGTGGCACCTCCCTAAATACAGTACTATTCCTCACAGGTATCCCTTCAATCACACACAGAATAGACCAAAGTGCACTCAATTACTGGGCTGGGACCCAGCACAACCCCATATTCAAACATATCACAACAAGATAGTAACACTAAGAAATCCACCATTAAAAAATTCAAAGTTCACCCAAACAGAGCACCTTTCCTCACCCACCTTAACAGTCTGCTACATGCACAACAACTAAACAGTATCTCTCACACACCTTCCATTACAAGCTTCATCTATGACAAGCCCCCACCCAATGCAGACATCACCTTAGCCAACACCCTGCAAAAACTACCCAACAACACTGACACCCCCACCAAAATAAACATCATAAACAACCACATAAACACTTCACACACCCACATCTACACAGATGCATCCAATAACACAAACAAAATCACAGGCATAGGCATACATGTACAACAAACTCCCCCTCTAACAACAAACCTGCACTACACTAAACATACTACCTCCAACACTGTAGAACTAACAGCAATCCTCACTGCACTGCACCTATCAAACTTCCTTATCTTATCCGACTCACTCAGCTCTATTAGAAAAATACACAACATGCACTCCAAATGACGCCCAGACTTAATTCACATCAAACTTCAAGTGAATCACTTAAACAAAAATATAACCTTCATCTGGATCCCCAGTCACTTAAATATCCCAGGAAATGACACAGCATACACAGCAGCCAAACTAGCAACTACACACACATCTCCAAACATCAACTTCCATACATCCAAAACTGAAATCAAGCAACTCATTAAATTAAATACACTCAAAACAAACTTCCAACACAACATAGACACAAACAAATAAAAAAGGGTCACCTCTATTAAAATCACCAATAAGAAATATTCCCACATTCTCAAGCACCAAAACATTGACTCTTGCATAACTTAAACTAATCACAGGCATCACCAATCTGAACCACTCACTTTACAAACAAAACAGACATACAGATGGCTTATGTACACAATGCAATTCACCAGAAACCATAGAACACATCTTCACTCACTGTCAACTACAACAAACAAATATTTACAACAAACAAATATCAAACAACTACATAACTCCATACCTACAAAATACCACAATAATATACATCTATTGCTCAACCCACATAATCCCACCAATATTTTCCAAGCCATATCTACCTTCCTACTCAATTCCAACCTCTTAAGTAGAAATTTGACCCGCCCAAACAAATTCTTAAACCTATTACAACTCACACTGCATATTTAGAACAGCGATCGACATCAACACTTTCTAGCTTGACTGTCTTCTCCGAAGTCCACGCCCACCTCTACACATCACCACACAGCCCTGTCCTCTCCGAGGTCTTTGCGCCTTCTCAATACCTCTTCAACATACCACAAACTTAATAGCAAACCACTATTGTCCTCTCCGAGGTCCACGCGCCTTCTCAATACCTCTTCAACATACCACAAACTTACTAGCAAACCACTATTGTCCTCTCCGAGGTCCGCGTGCCTTCTCAATACCTCTTCAACATACCACAAACTTACTAGCAAACCACTGTCCTCTCCGAGGTCCTCTCTGAAGTCCTAAGGTGCAAGCCTATTGTTCTCAATACCTCTCAATACAACATACCACAAACTTACTAGCAAACCACTATTGTCCTCTCTGAGGTCCTGCAGACGTCTCAATACCTCTTCAACATACCACAAACTTACTAGCAAAACCACTTCTCAATACTTCTTCAACATACCACAAAACTTACTAGCAAGCCACTATTGTCCTCTCTGAGGTCCGCATGCCTTCTCAATACCTCTTCAACATACCACAAACTTACTAGCAAACCACTATTGTCCTCTCTGAAGTCCGCGCGTTCTCAATACCTCTTCAACATACCACAAACTTACTAGCAAACCACTATTGTCCTCTCTGAGGTCCGCACGCCTTCTCAATACCTCTTCAACATACCACAAACTTAATAGCAAACCACTATTGTCCTCTCTGAAGTCCGCGCCTTCTCAATACCTCTTCAACATACCACAAACTTACTAGCAAGCCACTATTGTCCTCTCTGAGGTCCGCCGCTCAATACCTTTCTCAATACCTCTTCAACATACCACAAACTTACTAGCAAACCACTATTGTCCTCTCTGAGGTCCATGCGCCTCCACCCCTCACTCAACGCCCCACACTGCCAGCTCTCAGCCATCCAACCATCCATCCGCTCCCACCGTTCCCCACCCTTTCCCAGCTCTCAAGGCCACTCAACCATCCAACCATATCAAATCCACGGTCAACCTGCTTTCCTCTCCTCTCCAAGGCCACTCAACCAACATATTTATCCTTATCATACCTTCAATCCCCACCAATCAAAGGCCCCTATGCTATACCAATCCTATGCCCCCCCCTCCACCCCATATAACAACCCTCCTTTTTACCTCTATCAATTTAATACTTCTCTTCTCCTCATCTCTATTAATTAAACCAAACCGTTTCATTTTTCCTTTCCCTTCCTAATTTCGGCTTTTAATTATCATGTTTATAAGCGTTTTAGTTCCAAATTTAAGGTAAGTTATAAGGTATTTAACGTCCCTTCATTTATATTTTTTGGTATGGTGGTTCACTCCTATTAAAACATTAATTATTTATTAGCTCCATACCCGTCAGCGACACTGGCTACAACCAGAAGCCGACGTTAAACCTGAAATCATCATCATAATATTTCTTAGCAGAAATGTTGATGTACACCCAGGAAAGAAGTCAGGTATTTCCTGCATTAACAAGGTGAAGAACAAGATGCTTAGTTGTGTGTTGTTGACTGTGAAGAGGAATTTTGTGAAATATTTGGAAGATTGGTCTTAAGTCATTGTGTCCAAAACACAGGATATATGGAAATGACATAATAGAGGTTGAGGATCTGTAGTAATTTTTGGTTTCTTCACAAAGAATTGCATCATCTTAGATTACTGGCCCACTGGTGCCTCAGTAGAAAAATAAAATAAATTTATTTAAGGCAGTATAAAGGCATATGCCAAATTCTCAATTTCCCCTTTTCTGGAAATTTGAGAGAGGGTTGACTTTTGCATATGCAAAATTTCAGGAAAGAATAAGAACTATTTATAACAACATGATCCCAACCTACAATGATTACAGACACATATGAACAGATGGACAGAAGGACATATGGACTGACAAGCTGCTTACATACTGGGGAGACAACAATGAATGAGAGAGTCAGATGTTTAGAGGCTCGCTTTTAGCTGACAAATTTCAACTGGAGCAGTAAGAATGGCCGAAACAATCTGATTTTCTTTGTTGAAAACAAAGTATCAAAAATCTTGGATACATTGATATGTCATCCATAGACAAAAGCTATAACACATGCTACCAATTACTGATGTCAAGTTGAAGCACAAATGTGTTCACTCTCCCAAGCAAATTTGGTTTCAAATACTTTCAATGCATCAGTTGTTTGTGGTTTAGTATCACCTTAGCAACCAACTTAGCAATGTGAAAGATATATAGCCAGAAAAAATAACAACATGGCAAAGTTCCAGAGAAAATGGCCCAAGGAATTGAAACTGTAGTATCTTTCTCATATAAATGTACGATGCAATACCTACTATAAAAATGCTTTACGCTATTATATCTATTATACTTAGCTATAATGTGTGCTATGCTAACACAGTTATTTCACTGCACCATATTTCCATAGAAGGAACTGAAATAATATCCTCAAACTACAATACTTATTTCTATAACTGTATCATGCGCCATTTATTGTATTGTTTTGGCTGGATCAAAATGTTTGCTATGTCAATACGGATATTTCACTATACTACTTTTTGTATGATGATACCTTACGAAAACCAAGTGGAATATGTGGAATATGGATTAAGTTTTACCTGGTCTTGTTCCTGAGCAATCTTTGTCCCAACCATGGGTATATTTGAACATACAACAAAGGTTTCTTCACTCTCTTTTATCTCCTCAGTTGTGCAGATATCACTGACAAACACGGCGTTGTCACTTGTACGATGACACATGTCACATATCCTTGTGTTACTGTCATTGAACATGGTGCAGTGCTCACACTGCCAGTGACGGCCATGATCTGCTTGTCTGTCTGAGTTGAGGCCAGATGTTGGGTGTATGTTAACAGTCGACAATGGACTCCTGCAAGCTGAAACTACATATGGCACAATATGAGCCTCCATGACAAAAATGTAATTTTCTGAATAAAATTGATATTTTATACTTATCCTGACTCATGCTTATTTGCTTGTCTTCTTCCTCTTGAGAACCTAGTGGAACACTTGTATCTCCTTATTGAAGTTCCTTTCAATAAAGCGTACGTAAAATCACTACTCACCAGAGTTATCCCTGTTTCCTGTTTTGTCGGGAAAAGTGGCGCCACTGTCTTCCCACACTTCACTCTCTCCTGATAATGAGCCTGACACTTGAATTTGCAGGGAAATCCAAAGTGTCTAGTAGGGAGGTTGGAAGGGCTTACCTCATGAGTCAGGATAAGTATAAAATATCAATTTTATTCAGAAAATTACATATTTTTCCTTATCCTGACTCATGCTTATTTGCTTGTAGAATCCGACGCATTTGGAGGCGGGAAAAAATACTTTAGGATTTCGTGTAGTGATTTACGTCAATATATACCCCCCTATGGGAACTCCGTATTGGCACTGTGCTAATCTCTGCTGCTGTTTGTGACCCTGTCCTTTCAGCTGCCTTTTTGATGGGGGGACCACAATTGTTAACTTTTGGTCCTTTCTTTTGTTAACATTTATATGTGGATTTTGCGACTCCATTTCTTGATGCAAGCATCAAGTGGAGAAGCGACCCTTTCCTGTACGAGTATTCTTACAAGTACTGGGTCATATCACTTATGCTAGTCGTTAGCAGAGTTTTGCTTAAGTCTAACTGCACGTCTGAGTGTAGGCTTGGTAAGTCATGTGATAAAAGAGCGAGACTTCGTCTCAGCGTCTTTGAGGAACTGTCAACTGTTGTGCGACAACCAGTGGGCCGAAATGATGAATGCCGGAGACGTCCTCAGTGGCGATATCTCTCAAGTAGTGGTTGCAAACACCATGTCTGATTTCCAGAAGCAGCCCTCCATTATCGTCTGTAACGAGCAATTCCCATGTAGAGCGAGTGTTGACGCCAGAGCTCTAATTTCGTGTGGGTTGGAGGCTCTTGGAGGATCAAGTCCTGCTGCCTTGTAGGCCCGTAGTATGACAGTTCTGATCCAGATTGATATCGTAGTGCGGGAGACCTCCGTCTGTGTCGCTGTCGATATCGGGACGAAAAGTCGCTTGAACTTGCGTCTCCTAGTTCTGGATCGTTGTAAATATATTTTCAATGCTCTCACTGGGCACAAAGATAAGTCATGTGTATCTTGTGGTCCGAGGACGGAGGATAATGCTGGGACGTGGAATTGTCTGTCCGGTTGACCTGGCAGTTGATTCTTTGCGATGAAATCCCATCGTAGTCCCATATGCACTGTGTTTTGATTTTCATCAAACCGTGTTCTCTCATAGTCTAGAGCATGTATTTCCGACATCCTGGCTGCTGTTGCTAGGGATAGCAGGAACAGCGTCTTTTGTGTCAAGAATTCAAAGGATGTCGTCTCTAATGGTTCGTAGACGTCACTGGTGAGATGTCGTAGAACAACGTTGAGGTCCCACGCCGGAGCTTTGAATCTCTGTTGTTGGTCCTCCAATTTATAAAAGACCGTAACAAGGCCAGTAACTCTGGTACTTTTGTTAGCTTGCCACCTGTCCTCATAGTAATGACTGAGCTCAATGCCGCTAGGTATGTTGAAAGCGTAGACCCTTTTAGCCGCTTTGTTTGCCATAGGTGACAAAGGTAGTCCGCCACTTGAGGGTGTGATGCTTTTCTAGCTGAAAACCCGTTTCTGGCAGCATATGTCTCGAAGCTTCGCCACTTGTCGTCGTACAAGTTGCGTGTAGACTTGCGTAAAGCTAGTGTCACTGCTTTCGCTGCTCTGGCGGAGTACCCTCTCTTGTTCAAGCACGCCTTGATACAGTCCACACGTGTAGTTGGAATGTCCCTGGGTTGCCGTGCGCCTGCTTTGTGTGAGGATGTACGAGTAGATTCAACCACTCTGGTAGTTGCAGCTGTGGTGGTCCTAGTTCTTGTATGAGAATGGGGAACCACATTCTCGCTGGCCAGTAGGGCCTGACCAAAATCAGTTGGAGGTTCCTGGTCTGGCTGATTTTCTGCAACACCCTCATTAGTAGCGCTGGCGGTGGAAACGCGTACGCATTTAGTCCTTCCCAGGATATGCTGAGAGCGTCCGTTGCCCATGCTTGTGGATCTGGTACTGGAGAGACGAATGTTGTCAGCTGATTGTTGAAACATGTGTGGCGAAGAGGTCTATCAACGGGGCTCCTATCTCCTTGATGATCTGTTTGAAGATCTCGGGATGTAGCATCCATTCCGTCGGAGATGGTTGAGTTGGACGGGAGAGTGCGTCTGATATGACATTCCTGGCTCCTGGAATGTGGCATGCTCTTATGTGGATGTTCAGATTGTCGATTAGGTCAAACAGTTGAAAGCAGAGGTCCAGCAGGTTCAATGATCATGTTGATCCTTGCTTGTTTATGTAGAACGCCACTGTGGAGTTGTCCGTGTGTACCATGAGATGCGCATTCTGTAGAATGTTGCTCCAATGGAGTATGGCGTTGACGACTGCTTTCATTTCCAGCATGTTGATGTGCAGACTTTCCTCTTCCTTGGTCCATTTCCCGGCTGCCACATCGTTGTCGAGATGTGCTCCCCAACCTTGGAGTGACGCGTCCACATACAGATGAGTCTTGCACTCCAGCTCTGTTAGATAGATGCCTTCGCAGACATTCGCTCTCTGGGTCCACCATAGTAGATGAGGTCTGAGGTAGTCCGGGAGACCGAAGGGGTCTGGGTCGTCGAGATGAGCATTGATGAGGACCTGTAACGGGCGTAGCTGTAATCTCCCTCTGGCTGTCATGTCTTGTGCAGACGTGAGGAGACCCAACAGACTCTGCCACTGTTGTAGTGGCCACGAAGAGAATAGGGCTTGTGGGATTGTCTGTTGAATCTTGAGCCATCGGTCCTCTGGTACTGACGACGATGCGGTTCTGCGTCGTGGAGAAATCTGATGCCTAGGAACTGCAGGTCCTGCGTAGGTTCTAGGTCCGACTTGAATAGATTCACTAACCACCCCAGCTGTGTAAGCAGTTTGATGGTAAAGTTCAACTGTAGTCTGAGATGCTTGGGATCTTGATGTACTTGAATCCCATCGTCGAGGTAAAAGGCACTGCGTAGACCTCGATGATGTAGATATATGACTATGGGTTTCGTCACCCTTGTAAACAACCAAGGGGCCGATGATATTCCAAATGGCAGGACCTTCCATTGGTAATGTAGCCCATCCAGTGTAAACCTGAGGTACTTCCTCGAGTCTGGATGTACAGGAATATGCAGGTAGGCGTCCTGTAGATCTATGCTGGCCATGTAGTCCATCGGACGGACGAGGTGGATTAGTTGAGGTAGATGTATCATGCGGAACTTGGGAGGTCTGCTCAGATATTCTCTGTTGAATGTGCTCATATTGTAGATGAGTCGGAACTTTTCTTTGGAGTTTTTCTTGGGCACTAGGAAAACTGGGGAGTAGAAACCTGGCGTGATGTTGGTTTGATCTACGACCTCTATGGCTCGCTTTACTAGTAGAGATGAGACCGCTTCTCGTAACTGCTCTATCTGATGAGTCTTGAAGTCGAACTTGTGAGGGTCGACTGTAAGCGGGTGGAGCGGCCTGTAGTTGTATGCGATATCCGTTTCTTAGGATGTTGGATACAAACGGATCTTGAAGTATTCCCCAGTTTTCCCAGTGTAGCTGAAGGCGTCCACCCACTTGTGAAGGCTGTACAGGAACGGCTGGGGGTGGAAGACTCCAGTCGTTCCGAACCCTTCTTTCATCGTCGATAACTCTTGGCACCTCTGGGTGCCCTGCCTCGTCCGGACCTTGCTCTGTAGTTGCCGACTGGGCGACGAAAGGAACTTTTTCCACCTCTGGAGCTAGCCACTGTCTTGTCCCGTGCTCTCTGTATCCCAGGAAACTTGGACTTGCCTGAGTAGCGCTGGAATGTTTGCCTGATGACGCTGGCCAGAGTATCTATGGACTTGATCATAAGGACCTCCCTTGAGTCTTTGGTAACTTCCTTGGCAACCTCGTCGATTCCTCCAGCAAAGATGGAAGGAGCTGACCACGGGGCTGTGTAGAGTGACTTGGTAAAGTGGTCACTCCAACTGCAGGAGGCGAGGAGACCTTGTCGACGTGCCAGTGTCAGCGCTCCGGAGATGGATGAGAGATGGTCTGTCATAAACTGTTGGTCCTTCTTGTGCATAAGGAGGGCCGAATATATCATCCTATCTTCTTCCGCAGTAGAGTCTCGGAATTTAGCGATGAGCGTTTCGTTGACTGCCCTTGATCTGTTGAGGCTGAAGAACATGCGCCTGGTCATAGTTTCAACTTGTGCCAACTTTTTGTCTTCAATGTTGTAAGACTTGGCCTTGGCATCACTGATGACTTTGAAGTTCTCATCGATCTCCTGTGCCTTCAGGAATGGATCCATGTTGTGGAAGGAGAACTTTTTGGCGTTGAACTGTGGTAGATGCGGCGCCTGGGCTTTTGTGGCTGACTTGAAGGCTGCGTCCAGGTTCTCGGGGACCGCTGCGATGGGATCAATCGGAGGGAGAGTGATCGTGTCGACATCATCCTCCTGCATGAGATAGGTGTGAGCCGGATTATCATCCTTAGATGGTGATGCCAAATCTAAACCGTTGGCCATCCAGTAGCATATTTCAGCGTCCGAAAAGATGATCCTGCCGTCATCCTCAATGACAGGAGTGTTGAGTAAGGGATGTTGATCCTCCTCAGATGGTGATCGAGGTGGAGTCCTTCGCGACTGCGGTGACCTGTGTGGAGACCTGAGCGGAGACCTGGGCGGAGACTTGTGTGGCGACCTGCGTGGAGACCTTCGTGGAGACCTTCGTGGAGACCTGCGTGGAGATTGGCGTGGAGATCGGCGTGGCGAGTGGCCGGCGAACTGCGTCTGTAGGGTGACTTGCGCGGAGATGAGCGACTGTAGGTTCGCGAATGTCTTGGCGAATCCCTTGACGATCTGCGTGATGCGGAAGATGTCTTGGATACTGTATCTGAAGTCCTTCGCGAACGCTGATCATCTGATTTCTCATCTGGGGAATGGCGACTGGTCCTTCGCGAACGCCTTCGCGAATGCTGGTCGTCCGATTCTGTATCCGGGGATGGGCGATTCCTCCTTCGCGAACGCCTTCGCGAATGCTGATCGTCCGAATCCGTAGTAGGCGATGACCGAGTCGTCCTTCGCGAATGCCTTCGCGGATGCTGATCGTCCGAGTCCGTCGCAGGGGATGGTTGAGTCGACCTTCGCACAGGCATTGTAGATCTGCTGCCAGATATCACATTGAGTGAGGGCCCCTCAGAGACGACGTCTGCGTTGGAGCCTTTGCGAAGGCTTGGGACCTCTTTGTGGGCTGGCTGTAACTTCTTCTCCAGGCCGTAAGGCTGCTCCATCATCTCCATGATCTGTTGGGAGAACTGCTGCATAAAATCCCCCGGGTTGAAGGTCTGCGGTGGTAGTAGCGCTGCCCTTTCTGCGGTGATAGCGACGTGGCCCACAGGACGCTCATCTGTTGTCAGCGTAGATACCTTGGGTTTGCATGGAGATTTGCGCTGAAGTCACCGTAGCTGAGACTGGTCTTTTCTTGGGACGAACCTCTGGGATGATGATCGGTTGATCATCGTAGAGTCCCTGTTCTGTCAACGGGACAATCTCGGCTGAGAAAGTCCGTGTTGTCGGCGCTGACTTCCCCTTGGTAGTGGATGACGCCCTGGGGGTGCGGAGTCTGCGCTGGGCGGTTGACGATTTCCGAGTCTTAGGCTGAGATGACGGGATGTCCGGAGTAGCAGGTTTCTTCTTGGAGGTGGCGGACTTCGTCCCACGCCTCTCCTCCGAGGGAAACTCCAGCGGAACATCAGACGGAAGGGGGTCGTCAGACAGCAGTTGACTGGTGAGGGACTCCGCTGATTTATCCATGACTGGACCAACCAGTCTAGACCTATCTGCAGCATGTCTAAGGACGCAAAGAAGGTATTTATTAAATGCACAAGTAGTTAAATGCTTGCAATTAATGCAGCAGGAGCTGAAAGAACATGGTACCGTGCAGCTAGGGCACGATTGATGAGGGTCAGCAGCAGAGAAACGTAATCTACAATTGGAACAGTTTTTCATGAACGTAAACAACTGAACAAACACGGACTAACCCGTGAATAAACAGTGCTAAATACGATTAAATATGAAACCATATTGTTGAAATATACTAGCTAAACCTCTATAAAGTAATAATAGAGGTGACTAACTAAGTAATAAAAGGATATAGTGCCGTATAGGAGACACAGGCGCTCTCACAACCTGCTCACAGGGCGAAGAAGGAGAGAGTGAAGGGTGGGAAGACAGTGGCGCCACTTTTCCCGCCAAAACAGGAATAACTCTGGTGAGTAGTGATTTTACGTACGCTTTATTGAAAGGAACTTCAATAAGGAGATACAAGTGTTCCACTAGGTTTGCAAGAGGAAGAAGACAAGCAAATAAGCATGAGTCAGGATAAGGAAAAATATTATGCTTTACTACGTGATTATGTCATATGCTCACAAATACTTGATGTCATTTACTTACTTACTCACAATGTTCATTTATAAAATATGTTTATTGTTCAGAAACTGTAAGTATTCATTTCAGGTGGATCCTGAAAAGTGGATTTCAAATTAAAGGAGAATACTGGACATTTGCAATGGGTTAAAGATGAAGTCATCAGAAACATGTACCCCAAATTATAATGCAAAAGTATTAATATTTAAATGTAATCGCGAGAACAGTTTCTGCTATCTCAGCTTCGGCCATTATGCATATTCCGCTGGCTGTCACATGACCTTTACACTCGTGACGTGAGTGAGTGAGTGTGGTTTTATGCCACTTTTAGCAATATCACGGCATTGACACCAGAAATGGGCTTCACACATTGTACCCATGTGGGGAATCGAACCCGGATCTTCGGCGTGACAAGCAAACGCTTTAACCACTAGGCTACCCCACCGCCCCACACCAGTGCTGTCATGTATGACTTAGGTGGCCTATAATGCAAAAGACCAAGTGCTACACTTTCTCTGTAAAGAGCAGATTCATTTAGGAATCGAATCCACAATCAGGCCACTCATCACCAGGACACCAAGTCAGCCATCTAACCCCCCCCACAGCCAAAAGCTATGAACACACAATGCCACCTACTAAACTGACTCCAAATTTCTTTACATTTTGAATTTTATAAATATGTCTGCTGCTGTGTGGCCATTCAGGTTTTAGAGCTAAACTCCAACAAAAAGAGTCAAATAACTATGAAAATATTAATATTTGTGCCATTCCATTGCTTTTTATCATTATTGGGGTAGCCAAATGACATCCTTAAGGAGAGATTCATTCATTCATTTATTCATTCATTTATTCATTCATTTATTCATTCCTGCCGTGATATTGCTGGAATATTGCTAAAAGCGGTGTAAAACGAAACTCAGTCAGTCAGCCATTTATTCATTCATTCATTCAACTAACTTACCAGCTGTTTCTTTCGAGTTATTTGATGTTGCATTGGGCTCAGCTTCAGGCTTAATGGGAGTGCATGGCTGTTGGTTGTTTTTTACAGTGGTGGTTTCAGTAGAAACTACTTGTGAATCCTGTTGACCCTGTGGCTGCTGAAATTTATTTGGCTGGATGACAGATGATTGGTACATGTTTTCATGTACATTACTGAGGATCTTTGTAGCAGCTTGGCTTGCAAAAGGCTGGTTAAGTGTTCTACCTGTATCCTGGTCCTGATAATCACTAACAGGCACAACATTTGGTGTTGGCAAGACAGGGTCATCAAGTCTACTAAAGTCTACATGAGATGGTGGATAATACACCTGAGAGGGCTTATCTGAGTTTGATTCAAGTCTGTTGCGGTGTTTATCAAGAATTAGTTTTTCTCGTTTCAATAAACCTTTTTTCTTGCTCAGTTTTAAAAATTCATCTTGTTCATAAAATTTTACATTCATCTCAATCAAATGATTCAACTGCACTTCAATTTCCTCTATTTCTTCAGTTAGTGAGATGATATGAATGTCACATTTTGCTTTTTGTTTTTCCAAGTTTTGTTCCTCTTTAATCTTTGCCAGAAGTTTAGATGTCAACACTGAGTCTGTCTGATTAATTTCAGACATCTGTTGTATACTGGTTGACTGCCTTGGCATGCTCCAGTTTAGAGGTGATGAACTTATGTTGTCTGAGGGCAAAACTGCAGGCACTGGTCCACTCTCTTGTAACAGATGTTGCTGCTCTGCCACCAGAGGCTGGATAGGTTTGAGTTTCCTATCTGGTATCGGAGGATGTTCTTTCATCTGGGGCACTACATGATGAGGTACTGGTGTACTATTTTCGTCATGCTGTACATTAGCAGAACTAGTGCTGATAAGAACCAGTGGGTCAACATTCAGAATGTTCCCTGGTGCTGATGGATTCTGTCTTGCAGGTTGATCAGTCTAAACAAAATAAAGAGCATCAATGAATATATCATGAAACAATTCTGGATGTAATCTTCAACAAGATCTTAAACAAAATGATAACTATAGTTAGATGATTCCTTTGAATATCCTACCTTTTTTACATCGTCAGCTTTCACAAGAGGGATAGGTCTGATCTCCTATCTAGTACTCCAAGATAATTGGAAGCAATTAAGTAGATATATACAAATAAACTTGAATTATAATGCTGAATTGTCTGATTTTAAGAGAAAAACAATTTGGGAATTTATGGCTTTTCTTTGATGTTACACTTGTGACCTGTTGGGTGATATTTGACCATACATATGAATCACTTCCATTTCTGAGGTCATTCACTTTCGGCTCATAAGTAACATGTGATGTCATTTCCAGAAGAATGTCTCTCTTGCCAACAATATGTAACCTTATCTCACAATAGTTATTGTAGTGATAACAATATCTACCACATATAACGCTGCCAAAAAAAGGCAAGCTTTTCATACCAAAAATTAGAAGGGCGTGATTGCAGTTGCCTCATCAACAGTGTAGAAAATATAATTATTTTCTAGCTGTCTGTCTTTCCAGTTTTGCTGGCAATGGTTTGATAGCCAGATAAACAATGATGTTGTTTGAAAGTAAAATTAAACAAAAGTTATCATTGTTAGTACTTCTGAGAATAGTACCTCATTACATCATTGCCATAAATCCTGTTGGCTGTGATCTCATTAAATCCAGATTTTCAACAGATGTCCTCTTCACACCTATATATAACTTATTGGCCCACACAGCTGTTCCTATCCAGCATATGGTTATGTTGTCAAACTGATTCTAGTTTTAGTTCAATAAAAATACAACAAAAATATGTTATTTGACTGTTTATATGGTCATGTTATTGTGAGTATTTGTTTGCAGTTGTGTAGTCTTCTGTTGTTTGCCTCCACTTCTGTCTACATGTTACAGGTATAAAGCAGTAAAAGGGAAGCGGACCCTATCATGTAACTTTCTGAAACAACTCCAGCTATGTCTGAAGTTACTCCTTACCCTCTATCCCCAGGACGGGATTGCCACTTGAGACAGGCAATCTCCTTGTCTGACAATTCTCTGTAGTTGGGCTTTGGTCAGTTCCATCTCAATGTTGGGCAGATCTACTACTTAATCCTGGATGAATAATTTTACATTGGATGGGCGCGGTTGGCGAACTGGCTAAAGCGCCAGGCCAGTGATCCAGCGAGCTTGAGGTGACAGGATCGAGCCCACCTGTGACCGGGTGTAAAAACCTTGGAGTCAACTTTGTGTGCAGACTCTTTCGGTGTTGTCACAACCCCTAGTGTACAGTACACAACCCTGTGCACTTAAAAGAACCCACGAATCCGTTGGTATATGACCAGATGGTGGCCACATGAATACGTGCAAACACCCAGTTGCGGGTACAGCAACGTGCAGTAAACTTGGACAAAGTACTGTGACTATGTGTCCCAGTCCACCCAGCTGTGAATGCGTACCTCGTAAGGATGGGAATGCCACAATAACTCGGTGAGCCTAGTGGCTGCAAGAGTTGTATGCTCCCCAGGGAGTTGAGATTAGCAATACGATGTGCCGTTGAGATTGACATCCAGTGAACGAGGGAAAAACAAAGCGCCTTTGAGCAGCTGAGCTGAGCTGGATATCGGCGCTATACAAATGTTAGTATGTATGTATGTATGTATGTATGTATGTATGTATGTATGTATGTATGTATGTATGTATGTATGTATGTATGTATGTATGTATGTATGTATGTATGTATGTATGTATGTATGTATGTATGTATGTATGTATGTATGTATAAACATTGGTGCCCTCCAGCTGCTCCATAATGTTGTCAAGTAAAGAGGAAAGGTCTATGCACATTAGCTAAATTTGATACTCATAGTATAATAATTCCACGTAACCAAAAACCTTATACTGCTGCATGGAGCAGCAATTTTCATTGACACAGGATAAGTACAGTAGTAGTATACACAATGGATGAAAACTGGTAGAATAGTTTCTGAAATATTGACTATTCTACCATGACTTCAGTAAACACTGGATTGTGATTGGTTAATTATAGTCATTCAGAGGTATATAATCACGATATACAGGTCTCTGTTTTCCGTGCGCAATTATACATTGTTTACGGTAATGCACTATTTTCGTTTGACCACCAACATGGCCGACGTAAACCAAGCAACCGATACACTGATGGATTACGGCGATTTTGCAGTTGGAAATTTTGCATCTCTACTCAATGATGGATTTAGCGATGATGAGTTCAACTCATTACTGTCGCAAATCACAGAAACAGGTGATTATATACACAAATTAGTTCATAAGTATAGAAAACAATACTCAGTCGAATAACGCCAAGATATCGCCTGCTTTTCGAAGAATAAAAAACACAAGCAAAACTGTCATTACGCATATTCAGTGTTATGCCAAAACGGATCCAGTATGCATAATTTTTCATATTAAATTTTATTTATTATCAGATTTCGTTGACGATATCACCACTGATCCTGACTTGGTAACGGAGGAGAAATTAAATTCAGAGCTATCACAATTCCGTTATACTACCTCTGATGTCAAAACACAGTAGGTTTATCTCCTAATTCCAGTTTCAATTTCTTCAGATTTCACGGTACAGTCAACACCCAGCCTGAATGAAACTGTAGGTCGCCCTAATGAACCTGACCAAACCAAATCTGATTTGGGAAATTTGGGTATGAAAATTTGGCCATAAGAAAACAAGATTAATGAATAATTAAAAAAGAGTATGTTCGAATGTCAGAACTGAAAGCGATTATGAATATATTTACAGCATCATGACTGAAATTAGCTACTACCACAGGCCTCTATTAATATAACAATAAACATAACAATCGCCAATAGTAATATAACAAGTTTGAAGCTGGCCTACATGTGAAAATAACATTGGTAAACATTACCTAAATGTGTCTATTTACTGTAATTTAATAGATGTCAAAGATGAAAATTCAGCACCCGGGATATAAAAATCAAGGCGAGAAAAAGTGGACGAGGCTGATTTGGACCAGATATACCTTGCCGAGAGACCTAAAAACACCCTAAAAACAACTCATTGGGGCGTTTCTATTTTCAAACGTAAGAAAATAAGGCAATGAAAAAAATTTACAAGAATTTTTTTTAGAATTCGATTTTATTTTCACTTAATTTCACCAATGAGTTTTCTTTACTAATTTAGAAAATAGCTTTACACAACATGACATATAGACCTAACATGACATACACCTAATATTTTTAATCATCAGAATTCATGTGAAAATTGTATAAAAAGTACTGTAACTGTAACCGAACCCTACTTATACTGAATAAAACCTATTTCCTACCTTTTCATAGGTATTCCAAGTAGATCTACTGATTATATTCCTTTCCATTCAGAATGGCTAACACAACAAAATGGGAATCCAAACTTTGAAAGCTTCCTGCTGATGAACTGGCAAAATTGCCCCGACATTTTATGCCGGGTAGGGACGATCGATGGCCAGTATTACTCCAAGTCGAGCTATGTGGGAATCAGGGCCGCCATACATCGCCATCTCAGAGCACCTCCTCACGAAAGTGCAATTTCAATATCTTGCAGGATCAGCTGTTTCACAGTGCAAATAATGTTTTTCTCGGTATCTTGCGCCAAAAATAAAAAAGATGGGCTTGGATAACCCCAAACATCATGAGGCAATTTCTCAGGGTGACATGGCAAAAATTAGATCACATTTGTCTGTTGACACACGAGGAAAACCTCCAAGTTAAAGTTTGGTTCGATCTCACACTCGGTTTTCGGTAGGTGGGGCTGTGAAAATCAGCTGTCTCTCTCCAGCGATTCTTTTACTGTCGAAACAGACGACATGGGTCTTCAATACATCACGATGACACACTCTGAGGCTACAAAGAATCATCCAGGGGGGTCATGATAAGGGGTAGGGAAAACCTCGTATATATGAGACCGGGTTGTCTTTCGTGTCCAGTCAATTCATTTTCAAAATACAAATCAAAATTGAATCCACAAAATCCAGCATTTTTTCAGCAAGGCGGAAATCTGTAACTGCTTTCGACACCACGTGGTTCACTCTGAAACCATTAGGCCACAACACGCTTTCTTCAATGATGAAAAGTTTGTCAGTAAATGCCGGCTTGAGTTAAATTTACACAAATCACTGCGTGCGTGCCACAACTGTAACTATTTTGTCGCGATGCTGGTGTGGAATCGCTGTCGCGAGATCGTAAAGTTGACAGGACACCAGAATCAGCAAAGTTTAAATTCATACAACACCGATTCTTCCTCCGACCAAAAAGAAAGTATTCATCAATTCTGCAGGGTAATTCAGGTAGTTCCCGCACTTGGCTCCATCTTTCAGTTTGAATTCGGTGAATCAGGTCAACTTGGCACAAAGTGTAAAGTCATGTGCGTCGTCCACATTTCAAATCACTTACTGTGCAGTGACAGTCATCAACAATCATTACGGTGGGAATTAGGTCAGTGGGTTAATTCATTCCAAAACTTGAGAGGGTTCCATTTTAAAAATTCATAAGTTTTCATCTGTTCAAAACCCAACAATTATGCTTCACACTGTAAACATAACATAGTTAAACGTGTGAATAAAGTTCTGTAGCATTGAAGCTATTGTTTGTTTGAATATATTTTACAAAGTTGGCATTGTTCAAAATTTGGGAAGAGGCCATCACCCCTACATGCAGTTGGACTGTACAAAAGAATTGTTGCACCTCTTCGGTGTTCCGAAAGCGAGCTTGTCGTCGAATACGCGGCGGCACAGTGCGAGGTAAATAGTTCGTTTTAAAAATCTTAATAACGCAGTTATGGTAGAATGGAGATAAACATACTGTGTTGGAAAATCAGAGGTATATAACGAAATTATAATAGCTCTAAATATTTGATTTAAAACCTCAAATTTGATTTAAAACCGAACACGTAGTGTGAGGTTTTA